GAAATATCAAAATTTATTTAGAAAAAGAAAAAAATAATATTGGTGATGATGATAAAGAATATGAAGATGATTATTATGAAACACAAGAAAGAAATCATATTAATGATTGGAATTAAATGTATAATAATATAATGAAATATTTGAGAATTTGAAATAAAGTATAAACATTTTTGAAAGTAATGAATTTAATTATTTTTTTAATTTTATTAATTTTATTTGTAAAATATTAAGTTTGCGTTTGTATCTAGATATTAATTAAATTTTTATGTTATATGAACGGTATAATACTCAGATACAATTAACTGAGGGTATTTTTTTAAGGGGATACTTTATAAAGTGCTATATGGTACCTAAGTTACATGATATAAAGCCTCCTCTATCACAAATTTAAAGTCAAATTCTTATTAAAACTCCTTCTGACACTTGGGATTCTTAAAAAATATCATCTTAAATTATATAATTCATTGTGGTCTTATTCTAAATATTTAATTGATATAGAAACTTTTAAGTATGTTTAATAATATTAAGCCATTTTACATTAAATTAACAATATTATTTTGAATATCATTACTTTTCTTTTCTAACATCTGATTAAACTTAATCCTTATTTTGATATTTTAAATATTATATTGTTAACAGAGCAATTGGCCAGTCATAATAAAGTCACGTGGATGATGCATTATAATGATCTCTTAATCCAGAATTCTGAAAATACTGAGAATTCTACGAATTCTGAAAATACGAAAGATTTACATAATTCTGAAGATCTTTCAAATACTGATAATAATTATAATTTTACGAATTAAATAAAGTCTAAGAATATTTAGTGTTATACGTATTTTTAATATTCTAAATTTTATTGTTATTTTTATTTTATCTTATATTTTTATTATTCTCAATGTAATTATTTTACTTATATTTTATTTTGCTAAATTAGTTAGTTTATAGCATAGTAAATAGTTAGCTATGATAAAAGAAATTTTGTATAAATAGATAGACTTTTTGCTTATATTGTAAATTAACTCTTTTGTAGATTAGTAAACTCTTTTGCGAATACAAGTTTCAATACTAATAAAGGAATCATTTAAAACTTATATCTTTTTGCCTTTTTGTATCTTCATATAGTCTGACATGATCCCTACACATTATTTGTAATTGAGTTCGTCATCTGAATTCTTTAATTAAAAATTATTTATAATCTCGTCTTTCAAGTCTTCATACTTGATAGATTTATTTAAATCTAACGTGTAAATTTAATAAAGTTAAGAGTTAGGCAGATCTTAACGTCTTGACTGCAGTAAGCTACAGTTAGAAATATTGAGTAGAGACTTGATAACGTGATTACCTTGAGTTGAAGAATTCTACAGTGACAATATCTATAGATATTTGGAATTTTGATTCAAGTTATTCCTCCTTTCACTTTGTGAACTTTATCAAAAGTATAGTATCATCTTCTTTCTATAAGCAATTATACTAAATAGTAAATAATAAATCACTTGTCTTTAGTTTACTCTCCTCAACTTATCATTTTACACATACTAAGATTAAATCCTTTTGGATTGATTGCTATTTCACTTTAAATCAATTTGAGATTAATCACAATATATTCTTTATTGAAAGGAAAAATAATACAATGTTCATTAGTTTTCTAACTTACTCCTCAATCTTTTGTCATTCCACCTTCATTTCACAAATCCTTTTATTTCAGTTCTAATTAGTCAAATTTTTAGATTGGTAGTAATCAGGCCCTTAGTACTAGATAGTTAAATCTATACTAAATTAGTTTAGAGTATATTAGTCTAAAATAATACAAGGTTGATTTTAATTTGATTCTACTAAATAGAAATTTCTGTACTCTCTTATTTATTTGTAACTTGTAATTTATTACTTTACTTTTAATAAAGCTTGTGTAAAGTTACCGCATTTAAAAAAAATATATAATAAATAATAATATATATAAGTAAAAATTTAACTTTATTTATCTTTTAAATTGTAAAGGTTTGCAAGTAAATTTATTATATAATTATTTTTAAAAATTATTAATTAACTACATTTTTTTTTAATTATTAATTAGAAAATTTATAATTTTTTAATAAATAATTCTAAAAATATTTAAATTAATTAAAAATAGTTTTAATTATTAAATAAATTTTATAGGTAAATATGTTTATAATATTATTAAAAGAATAATAATTATAATAGAATGTTATTTAATAAATATTTTATTAATTTTATTAAAATTATTAATTAAAAGATTTTAAGTTTTAAAAAATTTATTATAATAATTTTTAAATTTTCTTTAAAAATTCTGTTTATAAACTAATTAAATCATTTTACTATTAATAAATTTCATAAAATTTTTAATAAATTATAAAAATTATAATTATTAAAATTATTCTTTATAATAATTTTTATAATATTATATTATAATTAATATTATTAAAAGTAAATTTTAATTAGAAAATGTGAATTATTATTAAATCTAAAATAATCTTAACTAAAAAAATTCACACTAATATAGTCTTTGTGCAATTATAAAAACTAATTAACATCAATTCAATTATTAAACAAGTGAATAATAAATATTATGTATATTATATAACTAATATTATAGATTTTTTATTTCACTCTAAATTAATAAAATTGTTAAAGTTTAATAATAAAATTTTTAAAAATTATAAAATTTTAACTTTTAAGTAATTTTAGATATTTTATTATATTATTATAATATAAAATTTATTAAAAAAATTTATTTTAAAATTAATTTAATTTTTCATAAAAGTAAAATCAAAAAAAATTTATAATAAATAAGTTTAAAATATTAAAAATATTTATAAATTTTATAAAAATATTATTTTAAATAATATTTAAAAAATTCTATTATTATATAAATATATAAAGTTTTATTAATTATTTTATTTAATAATTTATTATGTGATATTTCAGATATTTTACAATAGAAAGAAAGGAGACTACTAAGGTTTCTTATCTAAACTTATTTTAAATTTAGCAAATATCTAAATTATAGTTTTGCTAATTTTTTACTAAGGTTTTAATATAGTTTCACATTTTATAAACTTGATATAGTTTTATTTTTTTTAGAATTTTACAGATTTTTTAATAGATTTTAATATAATTTCGCTAAATTTTAGCTTTTTCTATTTAGACAATTTGCAAAACCTTAGGTTTTATCTAACAACCTTAGAGACTATTAAAAAAAATTTTTTTTGAATTAATATTAAAACTGAATTTATTTTGCTAAAAAAATTAATATTTAGTTTAAAAGTAAAAAAAAATTTTTTGAAAGTTTTCTTCTTTTTTATTACAAAAAGCCTATATTTATAAAATATATTTCTATCAATAAAACCTTATATAAGAATAATAAATAATATTTTTAATATAAAAAATTTTAAAATTTTTAAATAAAATAATATTACAAAATATATTAAAGAATAATAAAATATGATAAATAATAAACTTAATTTATAAATAATTTTAAACTAATCTTATATTAATATTATACATAATAAGTTTATATATATTATATCTATATTTTACTATTTTTAATATATTTAAAATTGATTTTATTTATTAAATTAAATTATAAGCAAAATTATTTATAATATTATTGAAGTAATAATATTTAAAATAATATTTAAATTTTTATAATTTATAATGAATTTAATTTAATTTAATTAAATTAATATTTAATTTGATTTAATTTTAAAAAATTATAATTATTATAATTAAATTATGAAATACTTAATTTAAAAATATTTTAATTTTATCATAAATAATAATTTTTGATTAATAATTTAAATAAAATCTATTTATTAATTTTTATATAAAATAAATATTTTTATTTAAAAATATTTAATAAAAAAAATAATAATGTAATATTTAAAATTAAATATAAACTATTAAAATAGTATTAGGTTTTTAATATATTTTTTGATTTTAAATATTTTAGACAAGGTTTTACACATAGAAAATGTATTTATAACCTATTTAAAACTATTTAAAACTGTCTAAAATTGTCTAAAATTATCTAATTTTCTAACATTGTATTAAAACTAAAATCAAATTTAAAACTTATAATTTATATTAAATATAAATTTAAATATTATAATATAATAAGATTTTGATTTTAAAAATTATTTTTAAAATTAAAATTTATTAAAATATTATTTTAGTTAAAATAAAATAAGAAATAAACTTAATAAGATAAATAAAATATTTAATTTTATAAATAATAAATAATAAACAATAATAATAAAATTTAATTATTCTAATTTATTTTTTTAAAAAAATAATTTTTTAATTAATAATAAGATTATAAAATAAAATAAAAGTAAAATAAATGATTTAATATTAAATTTAAAAATAAGAAATTAAATAATTATATAAAAAATAAGAGATAATATAATATAAATTAATATTAATTTATGTAATTATAAAAATAAAATTTTTAGTAAAGGAAACTGAATGTAATAAAACATAATTTAATTAATTTAATTACATAAAAAATAATTATTATTAGTAATAATAATATTTAAGATTTATTTTATAAATTAAATAATTATTACTAATAAAAAAAATTAGAAAATTTCATTATATATAATAATTTTAAATAGTATAAAAAAAGAAATAGATAAAAAAAAGAATAAAAATAAAGGTTCTTAGTTGATAAATATTTATTAATTTAATAATTCCGAAAGAACTTATTATATTATACACACGTAATAGAAATTTAAAATTACCCATAAGGGTGTTCTAATTTTATGATAAAAACAAAGTTTTTTTGAAAAATATCAAAATATAAATGTAACTATTTAACAACTAATAAAAAATAAATAAGATAAAAATAAAATAATAATCATATTAAATCTAAAACAAAATTTTTAAAATTATTAAGCATGTTTAAAAGTAAATAGAGGAAAAATAATTAATAAATATACCTTTAAGAATCAAATATATAATATACTCAATGTATATGATCTTTAAGGTCTCATCCACAATTTAATATGCCCCTTTCGACAAGTCGTTATAATCGAATCTTCACGAAAAGTTATTGAACACAAAGGATCAGAATCGATCGATTTTGCCTAAAAATTATTTTTTAATAATTAATAAACAGCAAGGAATATTCTAGATATATATTTAATATATTAGAATATTTACCATTACTGGTTGCAAAATAGCCACTTCTGATCTGGGTAAGCATGGATGAACCGTGTTTTTTGTAAGTTCATGTTCAACTATATTTCGCCTTAATGCGACTGTAGTTGCATGTGATTGTGACGCTAAACTAGCCCTACGATGGCTACCAAGCTAAATACAAAATTAATGGATCCAAAAAGTAAACAAAATGCTATGAAAAAAAATAAAATATACCAAATAAAATAAAATAGGATAAAAGACATAAATTACATAAAAGATGTTTGGAAACAATATCAACATACGCTCTTAGGCTTGTGTAACGCGTTCACACTGAAATCCCACAATAATAATTTTGTATCTTCGCCTACCGAACCAAAGCGATAATTACGTTCGTCACATCTCCAGGGGTCGAAAGACACCCCGGTTACCCAGGATTGATGTCCTTGACATCGTGCTACAATACGTTGTTCCCGAAAAGCCCATATAGTAACTAGATCATCCTGACCACCTGTTAAAACATACCTACCATCGGGACTCCAGCACACACACAAGAGCCCGCCAAAATAACTACTATATGTATCATATAATCTGAGGTAAATTAAAAATAAAAAATAATATATTTTAATCGTTTCTTTAATAAAAGAACTCTGTAGTATTTGTAAAACATACACTTCTTCTACAAAATCTATTATTCGTAAACAACCATCCACAGATACAATTGCGACGTGCTGACAATCAGGTGAAAATGCAAACGCTAAACAAAATTCGAAAGTTAATCTTGATTTTTTCCAAAAAAAAAAAAAAAAAAAAAAATCTTACCCGTCACAGATTTTTTTGAAACTTGCCAATGTGATACTGGATTATGCTTGGCATTTTTAGATGGTCTTGAAACGTGGAAACTTTAAGATGCGATCCAAAAAGATTTTATTATTACTTCAAATTAATAAAATATCATGCTATGTTATTATTAAAATATATAAATATTCTATAATCTATATATTTAACTTAAAATTATTAACCCACCCACCTTTCTTCTTCATTTCCAGTCGATGCCGTAAATGATTGATCATCCTTATCTTTATCATATATGATTATTGATCCATCCGAATAAGACGCCATAAATAGATTTTCTGATCCCGGCATCCATTTAACCATAGTAACAGATGAACTATTTATTACTCCCTATGAAAATATCAACTTTAAAAATTGATTCATAAATAAAAACTACATTCAAAATTGTTAGAATTTTTTTTGAAATACCTGCTTGTTGAGTCTATAGTATTTGTTACATAGCGGATCGAACCAAATGATATCACCCGATGAAAATCCGATAATAACATCCAAATGATCGCAAGAGCGGGTGAGCTGATTCACATCATGACACATTGGATGTGCTTTGGTGAAGATTACCTTAGACAAAAGTTCCTATAAGGTTATATAAGTATAAAAAAGGTTATATAAAGAAATATTAAATTTTCAACGATTTCAATTCCAACAATACCTTTGGCTTATTAGTCAAATCCGTCCAACAAAATGTTCGCCCTGAGTTAAAAAATAAGTAAGTATCTTCATTCTGTCGATTCGCCAATATTTTTGTTAAATCCTCATTCTGTACAATTTTTGCAACAAAAGATGATGTCGTTTTAGCGATATTGTTTTTTGTTTTTTTCCGTTTCATCACAGGATTAAAAAATGAAAACACATCATCCTCCTTTTTGCCCTCGATCGAGGTTGGGACGGATCCATTGCTAGGTTTCATTGGTGATATTTGAGTTGGGGAGGTCAGGTTAACATTATCCGTAACCTGTGACGAAGGGTCAAAGTTTTGTGACTGTGGAGACTGTAATTTTTCTAAATCTGAAGAATCGTCCATATCATCTACTACTAGTGTGTTTTCTGCACTAGAAGTCGACTGATTATTAGCAATTTGTTCTCCAACTCCGTCAATCGTATTTTCTCCATTGGGTGAAATTGGTTGAGTTGGATATTCTTTATATTTCACTGAAACTACAGAAACTAACGTCCCTCCAGTCAAACTTGGTACGCCATTATCTAGTATAATGTCGTCTTTCAGGATATACTGTCCTTCTACAACTAAAAAGTCCTTACATTCGTTCGAAGTGGCTGCCATTTAATGCTAACGCAAGTAAGTGTAAGTTTGAGATTTAAAAGTTTAGAAAAAATAAGATCTAAAAAATGCGATCTATCATTTAAAAAGTTTGATGTTATCTTAATTAACCTATAATTGTAATATAGCTTCGCTTGATTTAAAATTTAAAAATTTCAGGTAATTCAACTTATGAAGTTTAAGCTTTATTAAAGAGAAGAAAAAACCTCGATCAGGTATTTGAAGGATATTCGAAGAGTAAATTTGGTAATTCAATTTAAAAGCATCGATTTTATTTGCAAATCAGTCACCACCTAAATTATTGCAACGAGTACAACATGGTAGATCATATGACTCGTAACGTGATTTCCAACACGTGTAAGCTATCTAAATATGATCTAATCTTTTTATTATCGCTTTTTGCAACGTTACAAATTTAAAATTCCGATTAGATTATTGTTTTTTGACGCCAAACATAAATTTTACCACAAACCAATCAAATATTATTATTTTAATCTCGATATTACTTAATACAAACAATTAATATTTTATAATCTTAATTTGCTCTAATTCTCATAACAACTTTTCTTTGATTTCTGTATTGTAGTATTTCACGTCTTGCCAGTATATCAATGGCACGTTGTACAACTTCTGGTTTAAATTGCTTTATCATTAATGAAAATAATTAATACATTTGTCTACACTTATAAATATATATGTATAATTATAATACGTACTCTTTCAAATTCTTTGATTATACGTTGCGTAGAAGCCCTTGAACCTACAGCGATGCGACGCTTAATTTCCTCTTCGACTATCTCTATTTGTCTTCTTGCTTCAGAGTGATGCATTCCCGGAACTAAATTGATAAATCATTTTAGATAATATGAAACATGAAAGGTTTTATCGTTTAAATAAAAAGATATCTTCTTACTATCACATGAAGATAAAGCATTCATAGTAGAGTGTTTGAATAAACGCATTGCTTGTTCGACGTGTTGTACAGTTACGCGTGGAGATAACGTAACCTTCGCTATGGATTCTGAAATTCGAATAATGGCTTCCAATTGTCTGATAGAAATAATGATTAAATTTTGTAATAAATTTTAACAAGTAACTAACAAAGATTCATATGTACCTGATTGTAATAGGAATCGAAGAATGTCCATGTTTATTTTGGTCTGCACGACTGGCCTCAGCACGTATACTTACAAAATGACTACTTAATTTTTCTGAAGCTTCTGGAGATATACGAGGGGCACATCTTCTGTAAATTGATATATTATGTTAAAAATGCATGTTTATCCATTTGAAACACAAATATAATCTAATATATCGAAATAATTCACTTACGTCCTAGCATAGCTAATATATTTCTTCATTTTTGAAACATCAATTTCACCAACTGAAGATTCCGGTGGTGCCCGGTTCATATGCACCATCATCACATGTTTAGCTATATCCTATATAAATATATACCATTAACGTATTATATTATTAAATTGCAATCCATAGAAACATTAATATTATTTGTATTAGCTACTTTATCTCTTCTTTCATCATGACTATCTTTTACGATAAAAATCATATCAAATCTTGATAAGATTGTGGCTTGGAAATCAATATTCTAAAAACAAAATAATAATAATAATAATAATGAATATGAATTTGAAACGATAATAATAATAATGTTTAAATAAATATTTACTTCATTAGGTGCTTTCATATCATCATAACGACCTTTGATAGGATTAGCAGCTGCTAAAACTGATGTGCGGGAATTCAATATCGTGGTTATTCCAGCTTTAGCAATGGATATGGTTTGTTGTTCCATTGCTTCGTGAATAGCTACTCGATCTTCATCACGCATTTTGTCAAATTCATCAATACATATGACACCACCATCTGCTAGTACCATTGCACCACCTTCCAAACGAAATTCACGCTAATTAAAGTCACAATTCAACGTATTAATAAATCGAAATTGAAAATATAACTAAAAGAAATTACATTATAGAATAGTAACATGCTTACACTTGGGCCATCTCGTACAACAGCAGCCGTAAGACCGGCAGCACTGCTTCCTTTTCCCGATGTATATACTGCAACTGGTGCGACCTTAATAGTGTAAATGATTCATTATTAAATTATTCTCAATATATCTTGAATAATATTACTGACCTGTTGAACGAATTTCAAGAATTGACTTTTCGCAGTACCGGGATCACCTAACAACAATACATTTATATCACCTCGTAATTTCATTCCGTCTGCAAGGATTTTTTTACTTCCACCAAAAAGCAAGCAAGTAATTGCTTCTTTGATGTCTAATAATTAATTATTGAAAATTTTCTTAAAGGTGATAAATTTTTATCGGTTCTTTAAAGGAAAATATTTAAGTACCATGATTTCCATAGATTGATGGTGCGATACTATTTGTAAATATTTTATGAAAATTTGGTCTGCGCGACATGGCAATGATTTCTTCTTCCTCAGCATGTGTGAAAGTTGCTAATCCTTGTCCATCTTGATCCATGTCAAACTCGAGACCAAGAGAGCGTATATAAGGAATACGAGTCCCTATACCTTGACTTTTTTTCTGTAATTTAGGATAAATTTAAGCATATAGGTTTCAAAAAGATACAGAATGAAATAATTATGCTAATAGAACTTACTTTGTTGGAATTATTGTTGAAAACATCATATATCCCTACAATATTAACGCGCCTTCCTGGAACGGCTCTATCAGCCAAATATCTATTTATATATAAAAAAAAAGAGATTAACAAAAGAAATTTTACAACAAATTAAACACAAGGATTATAGCGAAATAATGACCTATCTAAATATACTGTTATATGTCGTGGCAAATCTCCTACTGGAAGAAAATCGGGTGCTTCTTGAATCTTTAGTACTTGCTGATCCACATAAGTACACCTGTCATGTATAATAACAAACGGGTCGATGCCGCAATCCTTTGGACCAACTCCAGATGGATCACTAAAAAAAAAAAAAAAAAAAATTCAATATAATTTTTTACTAATTTTTTTTAAGATAAATGTATATAAACCTATCACAAGTTCTAGGAAGCTGAACGCCTGAAAAACCACTAGCTACTGGTAACATCTTAAAATGTCGACACGTTTTACACATGATTTGAACATGCGTTGCCTTTGAAGTCAAATTAGTGGCTGAAATTACTATTCCAGATATTCGAATGAGCTTAGAAATGTGATCCGCCTAAATAATAGTTGTTAAAACATTTATAATTTTCTTTTAACTTGAGTGAGAGAAATAAAAAAAGAAAAAACAAAAAAGTCCTCTCATGAAATTCGAGCTTACGTTTAGTTCACGCATCATAATGTTTGCCTTTTGGGGAGCACGAAGCACGACTTGAAAAGGTGGAATTTCAATATCCACCTCAACCAAGAGTTTTCTTGCGAAGCTTTGTACTGCAGACTCAAACTTGATAAATTCAATGTTATACGTAAGTTTTTTAAAATATTTATCAAATTATCAAATACAATTAACGTATGAATTTTACCAAAGGCATCATGTCTGCAGGCGTTTCTTTCAATTTATCGGAAAATTTGCGATCATAAGCATCAAGGTGTTCAATCGAAACATCAACATAGTAATTTCGACCTTCAAAATTTCTTTTAATTTTTTCTCTAACGAATGAAAAAAAAAAAAGTAGTTTTAAACATATGTATTATACGTTTTTAAATTTGAAATATTGAAATATACCTGTATATGAAGTGTTCTTCGACGCGAAATTGATCTAAAAAGGTTATAAATTTTAGTTCAAGCGAGGTACGCGAGTCTTTTTCAACTCTTGTTGGGTGAAGACCAGTATGATAAGTTTTTCCTTTATCCCAGCCAAACGGAGCAGCCATTTCTAAAAGAGAGATGATAGAAAATGATATAACAAAAGATTTGACACGAAACTTTCAAAAAGCTTGAGTTAATAACGCGCTCGTGTAATTGTACCTAAAATGGTTAACAGACATCGGGCACAGATTTTCTGCGGTAATCAAAGCATTAGAAACCCGACATTAAAAAAAAAAAAATTTTTTTTTTATTATAGTAATCAAACATTTCTACCAAACCATTTAATAGCCTTAGAAAGATTAGCTAAAAATATATTGGATAAATTACACTAAAATGGTTAGAATGTTACCTACTCGTATTACTTAGGTTTCCTGGTTCTATGTTTATGCTTTTCGCCTTCTAGTTTGCTTAGAAAATCTATTTCCATAGCCTTGTGTTTAATTATCAAAAAATGAAAAATGTTGATTCATGATTAATTTTGTTTGATGAGGTATATAATGTCAAATTAGTATCTTACATTTAAAACCACTCAGTTGCTAAGAATGAAATACGTAGTGTTAAATTAACATCCTATTATTTATGTCCCATTTGATAACTGTGGATGAGATACGGATGCTGAATTAGTAGTAATCTAAAGATAATTTTATAATATATTCTATATTAATTTTACAAAGGTATACTACATTTTGCATTCCTAATTCTCTTTCTAGTATTGTTGATACTTTGGGATACTATTATATTCAATCGTTAAAAAAGTAATTCAAGGCATAATTTTATAATATATTTTATAATAATTTTATCTTAGATTACTACCAAAAAATGTTATATTTTACGATCTTTACATAATTAATTTTAAACATAATCTTTCTTAGATATTATTGATTACTTAGAATATTATTATATTAATTGCTATATGGGAAGTTTGCTAGAAAATCAGGCTATGTGAATTTTTTAACAAAACTTTGATTTTTATTGTATTTTAGTTTTTGATATTATCAGATTAAAATGTAATAAGGTTTTAATTTTAGTCAAAAAATTCCCAGAACTCGATTTTCTTAGCAAACTTCCTATATGATATTAATTGCATTAATTATTTTAGAAAATTATTATTACATTGATAACTAAATTTCTGTTATTTATAAATTTATTTCTAAGAAAATGAAATTTTTCTTAATAAAATTTTAAAAAATCTGATAAAATTTTTTTAAAATTCTAGTTAATTAATTTTAATATTTAATCAAAAACTTGTCTTGTTATTATAAAAAATAATTAAATGAATTAAAGAAATTTTGTATTATCTTATAAGTTTAGAAAATATAAAACTTATTTAATTCTAAAAAAAAAGTGAAATCATCAATGAAAAGAAAGTGATAAAATATAAATTTGTCTATAATTATATAATAATAGATAATCCTCTAATTAAAGGTATGGGTGAAACCAAAATCTTAAAGTCGAAACGTTTTGGCTTTTAAAAACTAAAATCTGAAACTTTTTGATAATCTGAAACTAAAACAAAATTAGCAAAATTAGCAAAACTAAACTATACTAATAAAACCTTCTGAAACTAGTTAACTAATCAAAATAAATGCTAATTTAAACCTTTAATACTATTTAAAACTAATAAATGCTAATTAATCAATAAATTAATTAAAGTTGCTATGCTAATTAATGTGCTATTTACTCATAAGCATATAATTTATTATTTATTAATTTAATATATCTAAAAACAAAAATTTCACATTTAAAAAGTAAAGCAATTGAAAATAAAAAAAATATTTTGTACTTTGTGAAATCAATTATAGTTAATTAATAGCTAATTATCAAAAAACAGCAACCAAAATTAAAAATTTAATCTTTACCTTTTTTAAATACTGATAACACATTAAAAAATAAATATTATTTATCATAACATTAATTTTTTATTATTATTTTTTCCATTTAAAAATCAAAATAAATCTAATACTATTATTAATCATTAACTAAAGTAATTATTTTATATTTTCAAAGAAATTACAAAATTAAGAAAATAAAAATTAATATTTTAATTTTTATTTAAAATCAAATTAGCTTTTCTTTAAAGATCTCATTCTTCATCAATATTATTATTATCTTAAATGCTAATTGTCTCATTATTATCACTATTAGTAACATAAAGTATCAACAATTATATCTCCTAAATCTTTTGTAAAATCATTAGCATGAAAGTATAATAATTCTTCAATATTAAGTATTTTTTCCTCAGAAATTGAAAAAATATTTTATTCTACTTCATTAATAAATTCTTCTTTTAAGTTTTTATTATTATAAAAATTTGCATTATATAATATTTCATTTAAATTTTCAATGGTCTTATTAATAAAAATAATAAGGTAATTTATTTTTTGAGTTTACAAGATAAAAAGCAAAAAGTTTTTGCATATTTTTGATTTTGTCTAATGAAAGTCACATGCAATGTTTGCTATAATATTATCTTAATGTTGATTAAATCCTTTTATAACTAGCTGCATATGGTATTATTACAAATAACTTATTGGCTAATTGACAAATATAATCCTTATTTTTTGAAAAGCTATTCTCAATAGAAAACTATCAGGTAGAAAAAGATTTATTATTATCAAAAAAATATCGAAAGATGTAATTTGATATCAATAATTTCTCATTTAAACTATTAATACTTTTTTTTCCTTTGGTATTTTATTCATTTTTCATAATATTCATCTGCTACAAGAAGAATTCGTCGAAATATTCCTCTTGCTCAAACTAAATCTATAAATAAATTATAATTCTTTAATTATTTTATAATATTTAATTTTTTAATAAAAAATATATATTATTTAATTTACCTTTATATTCAGGATATAAAAAAAAGCATAAAATATAAGCATTATTATCAAAATTAGCAAATTATTATTAAAAATAGCAATTAATTGTTGATGAAAAGTACAATGATTATTTTTAGGAAGATTTTTTATAGCTGCTTCTAAATGAGTTAAATTAATAAAACAAGCTGCTAATGAATAATCTTTAATTTAAGAATAGATATAGCTAATTTAACTGAATAAAGTATAAATGCTAAAACACGTAAATTATTAAAAAATGCCCTTATACGTAATATTAATTATACTGAAATATTTAAAACTTTCATATGATTATTAAGAATCTATAAAATAAGATAAATAAAATTAATTTAAAATTTAAAATTATTAAATATAATTAAATTATTTATTACTTACAGTTTCTAATAGTATTTTATGCTTTATAATAGAAAATATATAATCATATATTATATGCTAATGTGTTTTTACCTATTATTTAAGACCTTTACCTTCAATTAAATTTTTTTCAGCTAGTTTTTAAGAGTATTACCTATAATATAATTTAAATTAAAAATATTAATAAAGAATTTATTAAAATAATAAATAAAATTAAATAATAATAAAATAATAATAAAATTTTATTTACATATCTGCAAGATAATATTTTTTAAAATAAGTAATTAAAGTATTATAGCATTTAAGTATTCTATCTGCAAATGAAGTATTACAAATATCTTTTGAAATTAGATTAATAGCATGTGTTATACATCTAATATTTAAAATACTTAGATATTTTTTAGTAATAATTTGTCACACAGCTTGAATATTAAGACCAGCATCTGTTATAATAGCAGATATTTTTTCTGAACTAACTTTTTCTAAAACTAAAACTATTTCTTCTGCTAATAGTTCTTTAATATGCCTTTTATTAGATAAGTTTTGAAGATTTCATAAATGCTGATAATGATTAGATATATATAAAATAAAATTTCAAATTAATTTATTAAAAGGATTATTTTATCTATCATAAGCTAAATAATTAATTAATTATAATTTTTAGAATTTAATTTTATAAAAATATAAAAATAAAAAAAAACTTACCTAATGTTAGATTCTTAAAATTTTTTAATTGTTTAATTATTTTTTGATTAATAAAAGCTATTTCTTATGCTAAATTATTTAAAAAAAATATTTTTTGATGAAAGTTTATACACTAAATGTAAAGTTTTCAATAATTTAATAAAGAATGTATTTTTAATAATGTAAAAAGAAATTCTATAAATAATAAATGCTTTTAATAATATACAAATTATCTTTTTAGTACATTCAGATATAAGTTTAGTACTTTTAATATAATCAAAAAGTTTTATTTGAATTAGTTAAAATAGTTGGTAATCAAGTTTTCATTTTTTTAAAGAGAGCTTACTAGTTTTATCTGCTTTTATTGCTAAACATTCTAAAAAAATTCCAAATTTCTGCTGGAACTTTTACACACAAATTTTCTAAATGGTTTTCAAGAGTTTCTGGTAAGTTTTATACTAAAAGCTTCACAAAAATTACATGTTGTATTCTAATGACTTTTTGAAATTTGCTTTTTTGTTGAATATATATTTTTCAAACTATTTATTTAAGTTTTTCACTAACTTTTCATTTAGGTAATGAAGTATCATCAGTTGAAGTATTTAAATTAGCCTTCATTTTGTAAAATGTAAATGCATTAATATTTGTCTTACTAATAATATTATATATTTGATTTTCACGTGAATAATTAAGTTTCAGAAAATTTTAATTAATTCAAATTGAATTTTAGATTTGAACAGTATCAGACTCAATCAAATATTTTGAAAATTTTTTATTAAAGTATAACTAATATTATCTAGATTTTAGATTCAAATTGATGTAATAATTAGATTTTACCTGAACCTTTATCTCTAATTAAAAATTTATGATATATTTTTAAGTATAATTAAAAAAAAATAAATTAATAAAAAAATTACTAAATTTTTTTAATTAAAAATATAAAAATAAAGAATTTCTAATTAAATTAATTATAATAATTAAAAAATCCTATAATACTAGATCTTAAACAATTTTATGAAGTCTAATTTAATTTAATCTTTAAACTATAGGACTGCAAATCTAGGATTGTCTTATAGAAATTAGAATTTGCAGTTCTAAAACTGCAGTTTTATAGAAAATAATTGTTTAAGTTGAATAATTTTTATCATTTAAATCAAATAATTCGTCAT